CTATCTATCTATCTATCTATCTATCTATCTATCTATCTATCTATCTATCTATCTATCTTTGGTGTCTTCAAGTCAGTCTTGACTTCTGGCAACTGCTTGGACTAGTCCCTGCTAGTAGTTTGCCATTGCTTTCTTCCTAGGGCTGAGAGAGAGTGAGTAGCCCAAGTTCACCCAGCTGGCTTTGTGCCTAAGGTGGGAATAGAACCCATGGTCTCCTGGTTTATAGGCTAATGCTTTAACCACTACACCAAACTGGCTCTCCTGTATTTGATAACTACATAGAATCTTTATATATAACCACCAAACTGATTTTTGATTTAATGTCTACAGTAATATCTGTTTGCTGTGGTTTAATATGTATTCCCTGATCTAGAACCTTTAACCCATTTTCCCATTGGTGTTGGTGAGTGTTACAGTTGTTCAGTGATTGATGAAAAGTATTATCTGCATGCACAAAAAACATTACTTTCCACATTCCCAGGTTCTAAGGGTTTGTTCTGATAAATTCTAGGCTATGCTATATCCAAAAGGAATTTGTGTTTTCAAATTCCTTTTCAATATAATTTTTGGATTTAATTTTTCATTCTCTATCTTCATATCTCATACAGGTACCCCAAGGAATTATCCTGCAAACAAAACAGTCAACCTCGACTAGCCAGGCACCACCTGCACTGAGCCAATTTAGCGGTCAGCCCTCTTCAGTTTTGGTTAGCAGCCAAGGACAGCAGGTCACAGTGACAACAACTCAGGCTCAGGCACCAGCAGTTCATGGCCATACGCCCATCCCCACAACAATTCAGTCTTCCAGTACGGGTTCAAGCAAAGCAGCTCCTGTGCTTGAAAAGGGGCAAGTACCAAGAGGAACAACAAGTGGAGGAGGAGGGCAACCTGCGCAGTGTACAGCGGTTCTTCAGCAGCAGACACCCGTGTTGGTCAAATCAGCATCAGTATGTAAGTTGATAAACAGCATTGTATGTCTTGGTGTCCTTGAATTTGAGAAAGGGAATAATGGTTTTGTTTTGCCAGTCCTTTTGACTGTTGCTTTTCAACTTTTGACTTGAATATTCATATTTGTCTGCTTATTATGAGAATTGAAGGAGATCACATCTCCAACTACACGAATAGTTGTATCCATGTGTACCTTTTGTGAGGAGTGGGGTGAGGGGCAAAGATTACTTTCTTCTGCTTTGTCTTTTTCAATAACAGTATGGGTTTATAGTTCATATGTGCAAACACATCCCAAATTTATATTCCTCAGACAGACCATGACAACATTAGACTGAAAGTGAAGCTACAGATGGTTTGTTTTTCATAAGACCAATAGATCATTTATTAGAAAGTGCCAAATTTTATCTATCTATCTATCTATCTATCTATCTATCTATCTATCTATCTATCTATC